CTCCAAATTGCTTCTTTTAATGATGAGCACTCTCTATCCCATAGTTCTGAATCTCACTGATTAGGAAAATAAAAAATGGGAAATCATAAAGCCTCAGTCTCTGAAGCAGGAATTTTTTCTGCTAATGAGCTCTTACGGATATGTCAAATCAATGAGGACAAAAGGAGAATGAACTCACTCATATTCTACTAGCTTTAGGGCACTACTGGGATCTCTACCCCTGCCTTTCTTTTCTTAGGTCAGTGAAAACAAAAGCATGGTGCAACCATCGCCGATGGTCTATGGGAGATGTGTCTGGATTTTCGGGGAGTCCTTACCTCGTACCGTTCTGCTGAGCCGCAGGGATCATGCTGTAGTACACTGGCACCCCTCCCGCCGGGAGACCCCCTTGCACAGATTGGCTTGCAGGGACCAGCATGGGTTGCTGGAAAGGCGGCTGGACCACATTTTGCGAGTCATTACCCACTGGGACCTGAGTGGAGATGAGAAGAGAATGACCACTCGTACTCCCAATGAGTTCATCCAAGAACAGACTAAGGCACTCTAACTTCCTCTCTAGCTCTCAGAGACTCCTCCTATTCTCATCTGCCTAAAGGAAATGCTCACAGAGCTACCTCCATTTCCCTCTTCTCCAAATACCACTCTTGAGCATCTGATGTAGAGAAAGGAGCCTGCTTCCCTTTAGAGCCTACTTTTCTGGGCATATACTCATTTGCATGGCTGTATAAAGACCAAACAATTTAAATAAAGACTCTTCTCAGATTCTCTGGGCTTTCTCTCAGAGGGAAAAAACCTAAAATGTAAGGGCGAAGTGATCAGTATTTTATGTTAGAGTTGTCAGACTGGATGACATAGGAGGCTGTCCTCCTTTCCCTCATCCTGAGGACTGGGTGATCGTTCCCAATGCAAAATGCACCCACTTGGTAAGAAGGCAGTGGAGTATACTGAACCACCAGGCCTTGCATCTGGCCCCCCATGCCACTCCTCTGGTTGCTGAGCAGGCCCTGGTTCTGTGGTTGCTGGACCCCTATCATGCCTTGGTAAGCCGCCTGCTGCTGGTTAGGCATCATGGGCTGTAAACCTGGGGATGGGCAAGGAAGAGAAGACATTAGCATGGTCTCAACAATGTTTAGGAGGTCACACTCTATCAGCAATTTCTCTTCACCTGTCTATTTTGCCTTTCCTTTTTCTGGAGACCCTGGGTACCTCTTCAGGAATATAATCATTCCTGCCTTTTTTTTTAAAAAAAACAGGGACGGTAATTCTCTTTCCCAGTCTCCGCCCTTCCCCTATTCACTGTCTTCTTACACTAGCAGTTCCCCTTACCAGGCTGTTGGGATGGCTGAGGCAACTGTTGACCACGTTGGGGGCTGTAGGCCACCGGGTGAGAGAGAGGTCGATATTGCTGGTTGGAGTTAGGATACTGTCCAGGGGGATAGTAAGAAACCTGGATCTATGGTGAGAGGAAAGAGATGTGTGAGAAGGTCCCCAAACTATTAATTGCACCAGGGTTGATGGCCAAAAATCTGTAAATGGAGGTATTTTGGGTCTGCAATTGCAGCATTGGTATACAAATTTGAAAAATAACAGGAAGGACTTGAGTCACGTAGAAAGAAACCTTCTAACTAGAAAGACAACTAGTGGGAAATGGAGGTGAGGAACAGGTATCCCCTCTGGTCTGTCTAAATCAGAGGAAGAGGGAAGGATTATAATACTGGACAAACAGAATTAGTGATTTAAGCTGGGAACCAGAGCCACTCACTTGCTGAGGAGGCTGCATATAGCCCTGGGGTGGCAGGACTTGCTGAGTAGGTGTTGCATGGCTAGAGGTGGAATAGTTGGAAGCGGGGAGGGGCTGTCCTGTGGAAGCCATGATGAAGCTAGTCTGCTGAGGGTGCTGGGAGATAAGTGGGGGCTGGAACAGAGCTGCGGATGGGTCAGCTGCTTCAGTAGAACCTTGGCGGTTAAGGCTCATCTGTCCAAAGGGGTTGCTGAGGTCATCTGCCTGTTGAAAAAGTAGTGGAGACTCAAGGACTGAGGTGGCATCAAGTCCCATGTTCTCGGCTTCAACACAGACACACAGACAGAAATAGCAACCCTACCTACAGCCTTCCTTACCTACTCCAAATGTGAGACACTCCTGCCTCTGCGCCCTGCGAGGCCAGCCTCCTTACCACATATGAGGCAACAATGGCCACTCTGATTATGATTTTTATTAGAATTTGTCCTGGGGAGATGGGAGCAATGACACAACTTCTATATATAGAAAAACAGGACAAACTAGTGGGTTAAAAAAAAAAAAGACTATAAGCCTTTCCATTTCCTGTCTTCCTCCTGCCTCCAACCACACAAAGTGCCCTATGTTGCCAAAAATCCTGTTTTTATAATAAAGGACCCAGATAACACCTTGAATGGATTATGGGTGGCTCGGTTCATGTGGCTACCCAGCTCTGCCTATGCGGTGGAAAGACTGATGGACTCCCATTCCTGCTGCTTATCTCCTTACTCCCTCTCAAGGTCATTTCCACCTTTGTTCTCTGATACTTGCCTAGAGTTCTCCTGCCCTTCAGAAACCACTTCTAATTCTCACCTCTGAAAGGAGGCCAGGGTGAGTAGCTGAGCTGGAGGGTGAGACTGACTGGCTAGTCTGTAATTGCCTTCTCTCTCAGCCCTCTTCTCTAAGCAGCAAGAGTGATGGTGTTCCATCTCTCACTTGTACGGTGATAGGTTAGTTTGTTAGCTTCCTCGTCCTTTCTGCTCCCTGGACAGTAATTGACACACACACAAACACATACACACGCAGAGGAGTTCTTTTGCAAAAAGAACCAAAAACCAAAATAACTAGTAGGAACAAAAGGTAATGCTTTCCTGTGATTTCACTCAATTTTCAGGGATCTGATCTTCAAGTTAGCTGTTTAACTACCTTAATGGGCAGAAACAGATGACAAGACTACTGGATTGCTGATTATTTTGAGGTCCATATTCTAGGACTTTTCAGAATGGAAATAAGAGGTGGGAGACAAGAAGGGATTCTAGTGAAAAAGCAGACAGGTGTGATTAACACGAAATAAAAAGAAGCCAGTCCTCCTATATCATTAAAGAAGTTATCAACTATGAGGCAAATCAGATCTTCAAAGGATTTGTAGTCAAGGTACAAACTAAACAGCAAGTGCTATGCATTAGAAAAGGCTACTTTTTATGTAAAATAACACGGTAACAGAAGGGAACATTTTAAGTTTTTACCAGTGGAACCAGAGAAGTCTGCAATTGTGTTTTTATTTTTAAAGGAAAAGATGAGGAGCCCAGGTTAGATCAACATCTGGTTGCGTTTCCCTTCCTATAACTCAAGGGAACTCAGTGTTCCTCTCTCTTACATTTAAGCATCGTTTGATGGCTAAATTACTGTGACGTGGTCACTAGAGTGGAGTATACTTCAGCCTATACTGGCCCCACAAGAAGAAACACCTTTAAACATGGCCCTCCAAAAAGCACAACTGCTTTGCAAGGTTGTCACAGACTGACCCAGACATACCCAGAGATATAGGCCACACAAGGACAAGACAAAAAGGGGTAATGAAATTTATACCATGTTGTACTGCTGGGGTGGAGAGACTGGCAGAAGGACTTGGGGACAGGAGCCTGGAGAGAACTGAACAGGCTGCGGAGAGGGCTGCAGAGCTGGGACAGGCTGTGGGCCAGCAGAGAGGCATGTGGGAAGGGAAGAGAAAAGGGAGGCACAGGGCAGAGATGGGGAGGAAAAGGGAAGGAACAGTGTTAATCATAGAAGAAATTTCACATGAATAGCAAGGCTGCTGAGCAGTATGGATACCAAGCCCAGGATAGCAATCTCTCCTATCAGGACAGACTCGCTGCATACCCCATCCCATTAGCCACTCAGAACTTTGCAGCTGTTGTGACCAGTTTTAGAACTCTCAGAGCTGGGGTCTGCTGTCTGATTCCAAACATAGCTTTTCCCAAAACATTCTTTTCTGAACATATGATTCCTGGGGAACATAATTATAAACCCTCCTCAAATGTCCATTTGAAAAGAGATCCCTTGGCCTGGCCAGCGTGACTCAGTAGTTAAGTATTGACCTATGAACCAGGAGGTCATGGTTCGATTCCGGTCAGGACACATGCCTGGATTGTGGGCTCGATCCCCAGTAGGGGGTGTGCAGAAGGCAGCCCATCCATGATTCTCTCTCATCATTAATGTTTCTATCTCTTTCTCCTTCTCCCTTCCTCTCTCTGAAATCAATAAAAAACATTAAAAAAAAACAAAAAACAAAATGGATTCCTGTTTCTGTAGGAAGCGTCATCCAAGGTCTGGCTGAGCTCTCCCGGTCACACTCCTAATTTCACAGCACAGCTCTCCTGGAGGAAGTGCTCATTCACAAGGATCATCTCCCTCCCGAGGGCAGAGAAGGAAAAAACAGTCAGTTCACGCCTGGTTCTGGCTACTTCCTCCTGCTCCAAGATTGTTCTGTGAAACTCCAGGCTGTGAGGGCAGTATGAAAAATGTCCCCATAAGCAAACAGGGAGGGATTTAGGAATAAAATATAAATAGCCTTAGTTTTAACTTTTGTTCCTTCAGTCCCTTCATTAGCCTTAAGCAGGAGGATTTGGTGTATTCTAAACCAACTAATAAGGAGTTATTTTTTTCTCTTCTTCCTTTCCAGCCATTTCAATCCCTCATCAGTTCTCCAGCCATGGCCCCTGGTGGTGGTAGGAGGGGTGGGAGAAAGGGGAGAGGCTAGGAAGAGAGAGGGAAATAACTTTTACATTCATTGTCTCATTTATATATTTTATCTCATTATAGCTTCACAATAAGCTTATAAGGAGATATGATAACTTGTATCTGCAGTTAAGATAGTAAGGTTCAGAGAAATTAAATCACACATCCAGGATCACACAGCTAATCTGCAGAGCTTGGATGGGAACCTAGTTCTACCTGACATATATTCTTCCTCTCCACTCTAGTAGTAGGGAGGGTGGGAAAGAAGCTGAACAGAATTACACAAATATCTTTTAGTTTGTATAATTCTCCTCCCTCCTTTCAAATTTAGAGTAACAAGAGGTGTGGGGGACCCAAGGTGTCAATATCCTCTCCTGCCACTTACCTCTGGAGAGACCCTTTCATAGAGGGGACTAACTTCCAGAAGCAGAGTCCAGGAATTAGAAGACCCCACGATGGAGAACACTCCTGACATGTGGATTAAGTAAATGTAAGTCATCTTGGTTAGGAAAAAGTTACAGAGACTTCACTGTGTGACCTGGGGGAGATGCTGCCATAGCCTTGAAAATAAACTCTCAGCTCTCCCAGCATACTTATTTTCTGTAAGCCAGTGGCATTCCAAATATAACTGCTGGCCAAGCTTCTCAGCATGAGCTATCTGTGCTGGTAGCTTTTAAACCCATTTTCTATTATCCTAATCCTCTTCTTTCTCTTAGAGGAAGGCCTAATGTGCTTTACCCGGGGTCGGCAAACCGCAACTCGCGAGCCACATGTGGCTCTTTGGCCCCTTGAGTGTGACTCTTCCACAAAATACCACGTGTAGGCGCGCACGTACAGTGCGATTGAAACTTCGTGGCCCATGCGCAGAAGTCGGTATTTTGTGGAAGAGCCGGTATTTTGTGGAAGAGCCACACTCAAGGGGCCAAAGAGCTGCATGTGGCTCGAGAGCCGCGGTTTGCCAAGCCGCAGTTTGCCGACCACTGGCTTTAGACCTTATATCCTCCGGAGGGAGAAAGGGTGACCATAGGGAAAGTGAAATGGTAAAAGAAGGCTGCCTGATTTCCTCGCATTTGTGAGTTTTAAGTAAAAAGTGAAGAGAGAAGAAATGCTCCTCTCTTAGGACTCTCCTGAGAAGGGCAGTGGTAAAGGTAGGCATCTCAGTGCTATTTAAAAAAATATATTTTTATTGATTTCAGAGAGGAAGGGAAGAGGGAGAGAGAGATAGAAACATCAATGATGACAGAGAATCATTGATCAGCTGCTTCCTGCACGCCCCACATTGGGGATCCAGCCTGCAACCCACAGGCATGTGTCCTGACCGGAATCGAACCGTGACCTTCTGCTTCATAGGTCTATGCTCAACTACTGAGTCATGCTAGCCGGGCTGTGCTATTTTTAAGTTATACCACCACTACCTCAGCTACAGTTTTCTTCTTAGAGAGTCTCACACTCCAGAGTTAGGAAACTTCCTAAAAACCATGAGGAAGCCAAAGACTGGCCCTGAGGGATGTGACAGTCACCTACTGGCAAATTCTAGACTAAATCATTGGTTCTTAGATGCCTGAATGGGCCCCTGGAGAGAGGTTTGGAGGGCTCCTTTTCAAGAGGCCCATTCCACTTTAAGTAAATTGGGCAAAAGGTAGCCTCTGGCCCTTTAATTCTCAGCCTCACTCCTTGATTTCACATGCACTACTGATATATGATATGGAGGCCTGCTCTGACAGCAGAGGCCTGCCAAGAAGGGAAAGAGCACAGTTTAGCCAGCGGTGTCTCCAAGCCTGGGACAAATGTCTCTTGCTACAGAGCTAAAGGTAACTATATTTTCTCAGTTTCTCTTCCAAAGGAAACTCTTTAGAATAAGCACAGTGGTATGTGTGTATGGTCACTTCCTTCATCCCTGCTCTGTTATGTACCTTTTGAGAAACTGAACAATAAGTATTTTGGGGCTCAGCAACTTGAGTTTGGAGAGCCACCAGTACTGAGAGACAGGGACAAACAGAAAAGAAAGAAAAAGGCAGTAAGAAGAAGAAGAAAAGGATAAAGAGAGGAGAAAAAGTGAGAGGAAGAAAAAAGGAACTACATATGGGGGTGGAGGTGTATAAAAATATTAGCAGCTACCACAAATGCTTCAGGGACACCAAAATTTAACCAGGCTAAGAATTTTTGGTTTGGAGTTTGTGATCACAATTAATCTCAGGAATACATTTCTGAGGGAGCAGAGATCTCTATACCAAATAATGCTCCCCGGTTCCCAATCTACAGGCCTAACTTAGCATCATACTCCCTGCAGGTCAGTCAATACCAACAGCTGACCCACTGACCCTCATGATGCAGAGGCAGAGACAGAATCCGACTGAGTAAAATTTGGGATTCAGAGCCAGTCACTTGGAAATTATTATTATTATTATTATTTTTAAAATATATTTTATTGA